CAGATTCAAGAGCAAGTGCTCTAAGTTCATTCAGTGCGTATTTGTTACATTGAATGATATATCTTACTCTTGTTATAAGAGAGTATCTGTCATTGAGTTCTGACTGTCAGAATGATAGTATATTATAAAATGAAAGCAGCTTAAGAACTCAGATCATTATATCTGTTATTTAGTGAGTTTACAGATAGTTGTGAAGTACTTGAGATTCTTATAATCTGTGATTATCTTAAATTTGAAGATGCTTCAAAGTTCAGAGTCTTATTCTTCTAGACAGTGTATAATTATAAAAAGTTTCTTATCATAGATCTCATAGTTGTATTCAGTGAGACTCAGTTTCTTAGATATAAAGATACATAATTATAAGACATCTTTATTATTATATTGTAATATAGCTTCTTCTGTGACATAGTCAGAGAAATCAGCTTCAATAACTATCTCATGATCAGAATCAAATGTTATTAGTAGAGAGATATTAATAAATATCTTCTTTATCTATGCAAATGAAGCTTCAGTGTCTACTGATTATTGAAATACTGAGTCTTTCTTAGTGAGTTCTGTAAGTGATCTTACAATATCTGAGAAGTTTTATATAAATTACTGATAGAAGTTAGTGAATCTGATGAAGCTTTGTACATCTTTCACAGTATATGAAGTCTCTCACTTGAGAATAGCAGAGACTTTCTCAGAATTCATTCAAATTCTCTTATCAGCTTCTATGATAAAGTCTAGATATTTTATACTCTTGACTTCAAAATTATACTGATTAATATCAATTGATAGTTCTGTCTCTTATAATTATTATAATATCTTCTGCATGTGTTCTTGATGTTCTTTTCTGAATTCATCAGTGAAGATAAGAATGTCATCTATATATAGATACAAACTTATTAAGAAACTCTCAGAGTACTCAGTTGATATACTTCTGAAATATACTGAGAGCATTAGCCAGTTCAAAGAGTATAACTACTCATTCAAAGAGGTTATAACATGGTCAGAATACTGTAAGTCATTCATCTTCTTTAATAATACAAATCTTATGAAATACAGTGATGACATCTAGCTTTATAAATCATTGAGCTTATCTAAGACATGCTAGAATTTTATTAATAAGAGATAAGAGATAACAATCTTTCTTTATCAATCTATTCAGATCTTGATAGTTTATACAGAATTAAAGTTCTTTATCTGACTTCTTTACAAAGAGAATAGAAGCTGCAGTGAAAGAGTTACTAATATATATAAATTTCTTATTCAACAGATTATTGAGTGTCTTTTAAACAAGAAGAAGTTCATCTTGAAATATATTATAAAGAGAGTCTCATGATGACTCAGAGTTCTTATTATTCTTCTTTTCTAACTTAATACTGTGATTCACTTCTGAATCTTGTAAAAAAGATATATTCGTAATATTATCTTATTAAAAAATATCTAAATATTCATGATATTATTAAGAGAGTTTTATGTGAGAATCTGTTATTATAGTATAGAATAACTTCTCTAGAGCTTTCTTAATATCAGCTAGACTGTAAGAGGTCTACGCCAATTAGATCGGTATAATATTGATAGGTCTTATATAACAAAGATAAAAACACTAGAGAAGAAAAGAAAGAGAAAGTGTAAGAATCAGTGATTAAGATGGATATTTATATGTGTATGTGGTGATGTACGCGGTGGAGCTTCAGGGCGGAAGAATATATACGTGTTTGTAGCAGCTGAGGATCAGTGATTGAGAATGGCTGAGAATTGTAGTGATGATTAGACTGGCCGGCAGGACCATGAATTTCACATTTGGTCCCATTTGATCTGGTCCCATACATTTCTTGGCGTGAGTCCCACCAGGACCAAGCCTCAAAAAAATCTGAAAATGGACCATTTCTGAGAGAAATGGCATGAAAAATGACCAGATTTAATTCAAGAACAGTGAAATGAGAGTAATTTCTCAGAATAAACTGTGAAAGATGATCATTCTTTCAAAATCAGAATAAAACTGAGACTGAAGATCAAAATCAGTCCCATTCAGTTCATTCAGTGATTGCTTATATAATCAGAATTTGGTAACAATTATTGATAATGCTCATGAAACAACTAAATACATTCTTATACAAGTTTATTCTTCACTTTCTTATGAAAACTACACTTCTCTGATATACTGTGATCAGAGGTATTAAACTGTCTGATAATTCCATGTTTTACAATCATGAGTTTCTTGATTGTTTCTCCTTATAATTGTTCTCAATGATAGTGATAAATATCTCAACTTGAGTTGAACTTTCACTTCATTCTCACCTCTGTCAATGGAATTGTCAGAATATCACACATCATCAGTGCAACAGTTGAATATGTACTCTCAACAATTTTTCATAACTCTAGAATTGATTTAGCGTGTAAATTTGTCAGATTATCTTGAAGATAACAGTCAAATTCAGTTTTACAAGTATGTAGTTTTGCCTGATTTTCAGTTGCAATCAATGTATGTAAGTTCTGTTTCAAAGTTAGTATTATAGTTCTATGAGATATGAAGTGTTATCAAAGATTGTTACTTACTAGGGAATTGTATTCCACTGTCTTCACATCTCAAATATCTACTCATTCAAATCTCTGATAGTTGGCATTGTAGTAGTCTCAGACTAATTTGACATATGAGTCTCATTCCTTCTCTGTTCAATCTTGAGAAGTGTAGATATTAACTCAACAGAAGGAATCTAGTAGAGCTGCTACAGCATAGTACTCTGCAAAAGATTGTTCAGTTTTGCTGTAGTAATATACCAGTTTATTCCTTGCAGCAATAATAGCCTGTACTATAGCATCATCCCAGACTGAATTTCTTTTTGAGTGATTCAACTGCTTCTTAAGATGAGTAAATAAACTGTTATACACTCACCAGACTGACTGCAGCATTGATGTACAAGTGATTGAGACTGTCTTTATTGTCTTATAAAACTGAAACAGTAAATCAATCACATATTTCAACTGAGTTCACTTCATATCAGAAAGTTTCAATATCTGAATCTTTTTCTGATCAGAGTGTTGCACTCAATGATCAATCATCTGATGCAATCAAAGAGTCTGAACAGTCATCTCATATGTTAAACTCCACTGTATTCTAACATTCTGTATCATATTCAGTGATGTGACTGATTTGTTTATTTATTGAATATCATGAAATCATTGTTATTATTTAGAAGAGGTACAAATTGCATTAGCAATGTTTCAAATCTATGATATTTAAATTATTAGTCAATCTATTCAAAATTAACAGTAGCATTATCAAAAAGCATTATCAAAAAGCAATATCAAAAAGTGTTATCAAAAAACATTATCTTTTGCAAAGTGAATGCAAAAGTTACTTGAGTAATCACTTTCATCTCATTCTCATCTCAAGAACCAGTCATCTCATTATTCTTCATCTCAATGTTAAGATTCTTTATCAGTGTTTGCACCACAAGTTGAATCACATGAGCAATGCAGAGGATATGACCTTATTTATCATTTCAGAAATACAAAGCCAATTTTTGCTCCAAGCTCTTCATCATAGTGTAGTTATTCACAGCATTGTCAGTTGTAATTGTAAGAAGACTGGGACTAATATTTCAATAGTCATTTTTAATCACAGTCATTAATATCTCTGCCATATAATCCCCAGTATGACTACTGATCAATGATTCAAATCCAATTAATGTCTCTCAATAAGTTCAGTTCTCATCAATGTAATAACATGTAACTCTTATAAATGCAAGATTGTTTGTACTAGTTCATGCATTCACAGTGAGAGACACTCTTCAATGATTCTTCAACTCTGATCCTAGATATTGCATATTGACTTTGTAGTGTGTCTCAAGATTGAACTGAAGACAGAATTGATGTGAAATATGAAGATTTGAATTAAGCATTTGAAAAAGTGTTCAGAATTCGGGGTTTTCAATTGATCAAAGAGAAAGATTCAGAGATATATACATGTGAAGTAATTGTTCACAGAAGTTATCAGATGAGAGTTGTGAAATCAGAGTACTGATACATGGTTATTTTCACATGATTTTCTTCAAATTAGAAAGTTAGTGTTATCAAAAATTGTTATCTGATAGAGCAACTTACCAGCTCAGTAGTAATTTTCTGATTATTTTCCTTTTGTTGTCTGCATTCTGATAACTTCAGATGTCAGGAAATTCCTTCAGAGTCATGATCAGTTTATAATGAATGTTTCTGAATGAAGTTGCAGTGATTGCAGCAGAGAGATGACTCTCTGATAATCTGTAATGCAACCTGTTGATAATTATTCCATAGTTCATCTCAATATTTGTGTTGAGTTTTTCATAAATTTCATGGCCTGGAATCAGATGTGAAGAATGAAGTAATTATTCATCATAATTGAAAGAGAGCATTCTGTGTTGAATTGTAAACAATGTAGACTTTGTGATTCACAGTGATTTCTTGAAGAGTTTGTGAATCTTCAGTAGAAGTAAAAGAAGTGAAAGAAGTGAATTCAGAAGACATGATAATAATTTAAGAAAGATAATAATTTATTTTCAATAACTGATCACTGATGTGTGTAAGAAGAATTAATATAAGAGAAAATAATCTTGTTTCTTAGCTTAGTTATAATTTTAGTACTAACTCAGATTGAATATCATTGATGTATAAAAGTAAATAAACAATCTTGATTAATCTCTATCATATTTCTTGAAATATATTAATATTGTAAAAGAGAGTGTTATCAAATTATATTATCAGATAATATTATTAAAAATATATTAATATTGTGAATATCAATGTTGAAAAAATGTTGATACTTATACATTATAGTGATTTGTGAATCATGATAGTTAAATATATATATATATATATATCATTCCTGACTTGATTACAACTTGTACAATAATTTTTGAAAACTTAAAATCAATTTTAATTATTAATAATTAAAAACTTAAACTTATAACTAACTAATATAAAAAGAAAAAAATCTACTTCTTCTCTTTCTCATTCTTCTTATCATTCTTCACAATTCACTTCTCATTCTTCTTCTCCTTCTTCTTTTTCTCATCTGAGATGATAATCACCTCAAAATCTCTCTTCACTGCCTTCTCAGAAGAGGGTTTCTGCTGCTCCCTCTCAGCCAGGTCAACCTGCACCTCAAAATCCCGCATTTCCTGGTCTGCTGCCTCAGGTTCCATCTCAGTGACAAGCAGATTGACATACTCAGAGAGCAGGGCTGTCTTCTCAATGTCCTGAATTATGAAGTGCATTCAAGACCTGAACAAGGCCTCAATTCCCTCCTTCTCTGCCAGCTTCTGCTAATCAATTAGAGAATAGAAGTATTATCAAAAATTATTATCTCTCAATAAGTAAAAAACTTATCAGTTTTGACTTCTTTATCTTCTGCTTCAATACTCTCTCAATCTTCTTCTATCATCACTTATTTACAGCAATACTCTTCTTCTCTCTTCCTCTCTTTATCTTGAACTCAAATCATTCTCAGAACTTCTCCTGGTCTCACTGCTGCTGTATGAGACTCTTCACTGTCTTCTTCTTCAATCTCTCACAGGCAGTGCTATCTGCATTATTCCTATACTTAGTTCAGTCTAAATCTATCAGAAGTGTTACTTAAAATTGTTATCATTCTACTCTCTTACAGAGTCTCTTCAAGGCATTATAACATGTCTTGCAATCTGTCTCCTCTCACTTGAACACCTTCTTCTCCTCTTTCTTCAATCTGTGACAGTGCTCATGCGCCTTGATGGTCCACAGGACCGCAGAATATTTAAAGAGAGATGACATGATTAGTTTCAGTGAGTGTTGAAGAAGGATAGAGGCAGAAGAGGCGGCCAGAAATGATATGATAATAATAATGATGATGATGATAATGATGATGATGATAATAATAATGATGATAATGATAGTGATGATGTTAATGATGATAATGATGATAATGATGATGATAATGAAAGAAGAAGTGCATTGAAATATATTACTGACTTATCAAATATAAAGAGATAAAGAAAATATTAACAGCTTTCAGAGATATACAGAAACAGCTACAGTGTTGCATAGCAACATCATCTTCATTCAATGCATGCAGTGTTGATATTCTTTGTATGCAGTTATCATATAATCTATATCAGAGATACATGCAGAAAACAGATCTTTGTTGCTAGAAAGAATAATTACAGCAATTCTCTATTTTCATATTATAAAGATAAGTTATTCTCATTTCTTTCTTCTCTCTTTTCTCTTCTTCTTCAACTCATCACTAAGTTCAAGCTGGTATGAAAACTATTAAAACACTCTTAGAAACCCTCAAATTGAAGAGTATAGACTAATCAAATTTTAAATACAGAAGAATCAAATTACATTCAATATTACTAATTATTCATCCTCTCTCAATAAAACCACAGTCATGTCTTCTCTCCCCTCTTCAAATGAAACATGGCCCGTGAAAAGTGAGTACCACGCCAGGCCATAATGATCAACACAGCCCCAGCATGCAGGGCTGTATACACACAGCATGTGCTGAACTGAGAGACTGTGTGGATTGCAAACTGGCGCCAGCATCTCAGGGAGAGTCATGCAGCATGAGAAAGCTGCAACTCTCAGTCATATATGCAGAGAATGAATCATCACAGTAAGTGCATGTGTATTGTATGAAAGTAATGCTTTTTAATAACACTCAGTCTCTGATATCATGAAAATAGAGTCTCTCTGTGAGATCTGTTTTTACCAGAAGTCAGAGAATCTTATATTTCTCAAGATCACCTTTGCTCATCTTGTCTGTGAAATTGATGAGAGAAATCATCAATTTCAGTGTTCTGTTCTTAATATCATTCAAGTGACAGCAGAGTCCACCCTGGCCACACTTTTTGAGTGTATATTTTCTAAATATTCACATTTATACAGATATATACTGATTATTTATTAGATGATGTTAAGACAATGACTCATTGCAGCTGTGTTATCCTCACTATGAGAGATACACAGTTGATGATGAACATTGTGAAGACTCTGAGAAGTGAGTATTTTAAGAGTGCTGTGACTCTGTGATCTTGATTTTTTTTTTTTTATTTTTTGTTTTTTTCTTTTTCTTTTCTTTTTTTTTTTTTTTTCTTGTTTTTGTTTTGTTTTTTGTTTTTTGTTTTTTTTTTGTATTTTATATTTTTTTTATAATTAAAATTATATGAATTATGATCTGTGTTCAGAAAAGTAATGATATTTGATAACACTCTCTATTGAATTTTCAACAAATGAGCACTATGTTATGATATTATGTAAGTGAGAAGTGATTTCATAGTCTCATTTGATGTCATTCTCAATAATGAGATCAGAATGAAAATGTGACTAAGAATTCAAATATATTCTTTATTCAGAACTAGATTTTTATTTGAAAAGTGAATCTGAGACCTTTAATATTTGAAATAACGTGATTTGAAATCAATGTGATAAACACAAATCATGACCAGAAGTAATGCTTTTAGGCAACATGACAACTGTAAAGTTTGGTCCTGGTTTCAGACACGGTTACACGGTCAGTCTAGTGATGATTGAGAATGACTGAGAGTCAGCAATTGAGAATGACCGAGGATTGAAGTGTACATGAAATCTGTGAAGTGTAACAGAATAGTCTATATGATTGATTGAGGTGGCAGCCGAGGATTGGTGATTGAGAATGACTGAGAATTGTAGTGATGATTGAGAATGACTGAGAATTGACAATCAAGAATGGCTGAGAATCTGCAATCAAGAATGGCTGAGGATCTGAGTGTATGTGAAATCTGTGAAGTGTAATGAAATAGTCTATATAATTGATCAGAGTGGTGATCAAGAATGACTGAGAATCAGAGTATATGTAGAATCTGTGAAGTGTAATGAAATAGTCTATATGATTGATCAGGTGCAGCCTGTCATATTAGCCCTCTCTTTTCAGAAGCAGTTCTCATCAGTCAAGAGCCACTGTTTCAGATAACACAGAACTCAGAGTCTAGATCAGTTGAGAAGAGAGTGAATTGATGACAGTGCAGCAGTTCAGTGTGAAGTATTTGATAAGAAGATATGCTGGAGATTATGATGTCTTATGACTGGAGATTGCATAGTGACTTCTCTTCAAATTGTTGTTATTCAATCTCTTCAAGCTTCTGTTTATAAATTTGAACAGGAGCTAATCTTTTCCCTGTTTCATCAGGGCATTCTTGTAGTTATCTTCTGAATCTTCCTCTAATGTAATGTGGCTGATGCAGACAGACACTGATCCATTCTTTGATCTTTCTCTTGAGTGTGGAGGTGCTGGTCTTTCTCTTGAGTGTGGAGATACATAGGTCAATCAGCAGTTGAAAGTAATGTGTCTCAATCAGTTACAATTAATGTATACTTCATATTGATGTTGATCAGCAACTTCTTTGAGAGTGATCTCAGGAACTCAGAAGCCTGTTCAAACAGTGAAAACTCTTGCTTATGTATAGACATTTGAATCTATTCAGTTCATGGTATCTGCATCATGATTGTTCTTCAGTGTGAGTGTATGAGTGACTGAGTTATCTGTTGATACTGGTGTATAAGTTGCTGAGATGTAATGTCTTCTGTCACTGTTCTGTATACTCTTGAGCTTGATAAGACAGTCATTCAATGTTCAGAGCTGTGTGCAGAAATCTTCATAAGTTGAGTCTTCATTTATACTTATGAGAGCCTGTAAGAGTTCAAAAGTTAATGTCTTCTTGAGCATGCTAATCTTCACTCTATTCTCTCAAGATTGATCACCTGCTTCTAGAATCTTGGTGTTGAAGTCAGGAATAAATGTTGTAAGAGAAGTGTTTCTCTGTTGAGAACTCTGTAATCAATCTAATACTTTCTGTTGTATGTCAGTATCTTGAAACAGAATATCAAGATGTTTCATGATGTTATCAGGTGTTTGCAACACTGATTCACATGCTTTCATTCATGAATGAAACTTCTGTTTCACACAATTCTTCAATCTTTCATTGATATATCAATCTTGATTGATTAATGAACTGATGGAATCTTCATCTACACTCAGTTTCATGAGCATTTTCATTCTTCATGATGAGTAGAGAGTGAGATCAGAAGCATCAAAATATGCAGAGACATCTAAGCATTCTTTCAGTGCTTTTGTATTTGATTCTGTAAATATTGAAATTGCATGAGTTTCTTATTGTGATAATCATTGAATCTCTTCATATTGATGTTATTGAGTTGCATGCATATCAGCTATCTATTGCTGTTGTAATTTCAACATTGCTCAGAGTCACTGTGGCACTGTGTCTATACTCATATTCAAGTTTGAGAGTTCCATATTATTGTTAGACATGATTATATCAATTATTAAATGTATGATATCTGTGAAATCTGAAGAAGTGTAATTGTATTCTCATACATCTGAGTGTCAGAACTCTCAGGTCTTTCACTGATATTCTCTTTTATAAGATCTTATTCTCTTCATAAGATCTTATTACAGGGTCAGAGTGACTGATGAGCAAGCTTCTATCTAGAGACTATCTGAAGACTCAGTGTCTGCTTAACTGTTTAACTGTTTCTCTATTTCTTACACATTATTACACATTCAGATATCTCTTGATGAATAATTGTTTCTGATGAGGAGACAATGCTTGAATAATCATTTTCTAATAAGAAGATGATGCTTGAATAATCATTTTCTAATAAGAAGACAATGAGTGTTTTTATAGTGTAAGAAACCTACACTGATTAGATCAGTATAATATTGATAGGTCTTATATAACAAAGATAAAAATGCTAGAGAAGAAAAGAAAGAGAAAGTGTAAGAATCAGTGATTGAGATGGATATTTATATGTGTATGTGGTGATGTACACGGTGGAGCTTCAGGGCAGAAGAATATATACGCATTCATAGCAGCTGAGGATTGGTGATCAAGAATGGCTGAGAATCATAGTGATGATTGAGAATGACTGAGGGTCAGCAATCGAGAATGGCTGAGAATTGAAGTGTACATGGAATCTGTGAAGTGTAACAGAATAGTCTATATGATTGATTGAGATGATGGCTGAGGATCAGTGATCAAGAATGGCTGAGAATTGTAGTGATGATTGAGAATGACTGAGAATCAGTAATTGAGAATGGCTGAGAATCTGCAATCAAGAATGACTGAGGATCTGAGTGTATGTGAAATCTGTGGAGTGTAACAGAATAGTCTATATAATTGATTGAAGTGGCAATTGAGAATGGCCGAGGATCAGAGTGTATGTAGAATCTGTGAAGTGTAAC